TTGGGTGCTTGTGGTATTTTTTTAGTTTCAACTTTTCGGCATTTTTTAGTTGGGTGGTTCCAATATTCCTACTTGAATAATGTTGAATCACCCTTAGGATATGTTGCCTGCTTTTTAAATTTGTCTTTTGACGTATTATCTGTGATACGCAGGCTTCATAACCTCTGATCCCCTTTCAAAATTCCATTTTATTTAGTTCCGCCCATTGTTTTCTCGTTTAGGGCACACGCTTTTTATTACTTGGGGACCATACGCCGCTTTTCATGGAATGGCACGGAAGTGTCACATTGAATGATAACCGCCGTATGAACACATCTGTAGATGTTTCTAAATTCAAAATTTTAATACTTCATGCTTAAATGTTGAATTCTGCTTAAGCCAGTGCTAGGGGGCGTGGACGGTAACTTGCACTTTCCATTACCGTCCATAAACAGGCTCAATCAAACCGAGCCTGCAACATTTTCAATTTTGCCGTGTTGGTCTTTCTTTAGGGATTCTGTATTTATCTTTTTTTGACATATCTTAAAACATCCCAACTCAAACCGTTCATGATTAATTTGTTTAAAATACTAATTAGATCAAATGCTCTATGCAAGTCTAAGAAAAGGCAATAAATGAATGGTTCCAGTCAGAACTTTATCTCAGCAAATTAAATACGATCGTCCAATAATGAATATATTATTTATACTATCAGGTTTTGATTGTTTTATCATTTTTTTAAATATTTATTATTATTTTGTTTTATATAAAATTGTTTACGAATCTCAAAGGCAAAGGGTTATAAAAGTTTAGCGATTATATCTATTATCAAGAAAAAAGATTGACAAAAAGCCTTCCTAAAGAGCATATATAGCTTCAATTAAATTTGACATTTACTTTTCTGTTCATATCAAGTACAGCGGCTGAAAGCTTATAATAAAGAAGTGTTAATGTATCTATTGGTTCTGTAATACGAGGAAGACTTAAGTGATTTGATGGATAATATTGTAGTGTACTTCTACAATGTTTGTGCACCAGACATCAAAAATTGTGATCAGGTTGTAAATACTAGTAATGATACTGCACTTTTACACATGATTTTGATACTTCTCGTTCTTGTACTGTATATTGCTAGCTCATAAATGTCGTACCTGTAAAGCTATCATTGTCGTATTAATCATTTTTCTTTTATAGAAAACGATTTATTAAGCCGTGCTTGGGGGCGTTGACGGTAACTTGCTCTTTCCATTACCGTCCATGAACAGGCTCAATCAAATCGAGCCTGCAACATTTTCAATTTCGTAGTGTTGGACTTTCTTTACGGATTCTGTTTTTCTCTATTGTACGTAATGGTTGATCTGTATTACCACAAATCATTAAGTTGGTAGTATTAAGTATCATACATGACAAAAGACCAAAAATAGTTGAGAGCGTGAAGTACATGTGATATGACATACACGTATCTATACTATAAATTATTCTAAAACAAAACATTATCAGTCATCAAATAAATATCCGTACTAAATATTTTAGAACTCTGACAACATTTTTTCTCTCAAAATATATTTCAAACAATATCCAAGCGCTGCATTTCTTTTGCTTGTGTCATAATTTGAAAATCTTATGAAAAGTTTGTCCATGGTAGACCAATCCACTTCAAGTTCACGTTTTAACCCACATTGTGACGCATTGATAAATATATAAGAAATATGGAGTACATCAGCAGTATAGTATATATTCTTGCAACGCAGACCTTTTACTGGCTACTAGTATCGGCCTGTGAATGTAGTACAAAAGGAATGTGTACCGTGGGTTCCGACGATATATTCCAGTTAAAGTTGTTTGTGCATCTATTGGAGATATAAAACATTCAGAATCATTTTTATATTAACAAACAACACGATTACCTCTTTCCTATGTCAACAATATTGTTCGAATCGGGAAAGTAATAGTCACTATGTACTTAGTTACAGTTATCTGACAAAAAATTATAGACAAATGAATCAACAGATAATTAGAAAATAACCATGTGATAAAAACGTCTTGACAAATTATTTGTCAGCATGCAATTTTCTTCCTATATTTTGGAAAATTAAAGGGGAAATAAAGGTTTTGGGAAACAGATCTTTTTCCGAAGTAAAGTAATTTCAATCTATAAAGATTGTTTTCTCGATAAATAAATCGAACTTTAAACAATATAACTATTGATAGATTTGATTGTACATGTATGTAAAAATGTCAATTGTTATGCTTATGGAATAGTGTAATAAGTAAGATCAAAGATCACATGATCCTTTACCATGAAGCTCTGTCAGATTTATATGTTAAGCTTAAGATGCATTTTTTCTTGCAAAAAGAAAATAAAGAAAATAAGTTAAGCAAGTGGTGTACCGGCACGAGAAACATCGTTCATGAACTGTACATAAATTTGTATCAGCTTTCCGTCTTATTAAATCAAATCGGTTTCGCGTTGATTTTCGTTTGTTTGGTTTTTTGAATATTTATATCTTTTAAAGTAAATACCTATGAAGTTAAGTTTAAAGTCAAGTGACTTATCTGATGAACATGTACTTTATACTGATTTGTTTTACATTTGTATATACAACACGGCACATGAGTGTAAGGAAAGAGAGAAAGTTCAATAAATTCTGTACTTTTTGTTGACCGCAAACATTAACTCACTCTGACACTATGTGCATATTTAAAAGTGTCGCAGCTCAAACGAATCAAAGGGGTCGTTGACTCTGCTGTGAGTTCTGGACCTGGTGTAGAGGGTTCTGTAAAAAGACAAGTATGCGCTACTCAAAATATTTATTCTTCCCTACAACAAAACCGTGGCCTGCGCCAACAATTTCTCAATTCAAGTGCAAAATATGAAAATCACAAAAATCGATGAATGGCAAAATATATATGAATAATAATAGCATCATCTGCAAAAGTCTATTTACCTGTAAAAAGACAAGTATGCGCTACTCAAAATATTTATTCTTCCCTACAACAAAACCGTGGCCTGCGCCAACAATTTCTCAATTCAAGTGCGCATGCGTTGTGCAGATTAGCGGGGAAATTGAAATATTAGCGAGAAAAGTTAATCGAAGATATTGAAAAGGTTATAAAGTACTATTATGGATATGTAACGGCTATTGGATATGAGATATGAGCTATGAGTATATGAATTAAAGAAATAACTACGGAAAACAATAAGGGACATGGACATTAACATATAAATATACAAAGACAGGCATGGACACGAACAGATTAAAATATACAGCACTTGGCAATACGGACAATGTATACTTGACCCTGTGACATCATCCCCCTCATAGGGAAATGTCGTCCCGACATTTAAATAAAGGTCAACCCATATACACTTACCTTAGAATAGATAAACCGCAAGGTTCTTCTCTATACTGTCCAATAATACTCTATACTCCTGTACATATCGTACAAATATATCCAAAGACTACTCAAGAACTACTGTAGCTAACAATAATCTACACTACAGCTCAAAAATCTGTCAAAGTTTCATGTAAAGTCACAGAGACAGGACACCATATACATGAGCATCAGGCCTATATGCCCACATAAAATGTCAATATACAATAAAATCATTCAGAACACTTACATAAATGACTATTAAGCACTTATTTTAGTATTCATCTCACAGATGGCACTTAAATCTGTGAGGTTTCCAATAAAGCGCACACAACATCAGAATCACAATGTAATTTGAGTATATGCAGTAAAGCAAAAATACCATATGTTACAGATAAACCCCATAATATAACTTTATGAATGAAAGTAAATTTGTGTTACGACATCACTGTCTTTTTCAAATACCTTAAAGCTTGCGATCATACTCAACAATATGAAACTTCTATGCTATGTCACCCAATAAGTTGATGTTAACCAACTTGGCGGCTTTCTTTTTCTAGCAACACGGTCTGGGACAAAGGGTAATGCACATGGATTAAGAGTGGACTTGCGTTTTTGAGGAATGATATATTTCTCAACAGATAATGGGGAGTTGGGAGCAGGAGTTTTAGAAATACTAGTTGTGTCTACAGTGTGCACTGGTTTGGTACAAGAAAAAGAAGCATCAGATTCAACTGTGTTTTTGAGAGGAAGACCTGAGAAGGGTAAAAGGAGATTCCTATGTACAGTTCTGGGATTTCCTCTTCCATGCTCCTTCTTCACAAGGAATACAGGCACATCAGGATTTGGTTGCTCCACCACAATATACACGTCTCTTCCCCACTTATCAGCAAGCTTGTGCTTTCCCTTCAAACCAACGTTCCTCACCAGGACTCTGTCTCCTGATTCTAGTTTGGCCTCCCGTACTCGAATATCATAACGTTTCTTATGCCGTCTTGATTGTCGCAATGACTCTCTGGTGGCAACTTTGTAGGCAAAGTTCAGACGCTTTTGAAGGTCACGAACATAGTTAGAATGATCAGTAGACTTGGGTTGATCATCAGGCTGGATTCCGAGGAAGGCGTCGATGGCAAGACGTGGATGCCGTCCGAACATTAGAAAGTGGGGTGTAAGCCCCGTGCTTTCATGTCGGGTAGAATTATAGGCATGCACTAATGCTTGAATATGTGCCTTCCAGTTAGATTTCTGTAAATCTTCCAGGGTACCTAACATGTTCAATAATGTCTGATTAAAGCGTTCTGGCATGCCATTGCCTTAGGGATGATATGGAGTGGTTCGGGATTTCTCAACATTGGCCAGCTTACACAGTTCCTTAATGACAGCAGATTCAAAATTACGGCCTTGATCACTGTGTAAGCGGCTGGGGAATCCGTAATGGCAAATAAACTGCTCAAATAAAATCTTGGCCGTTGTATGGGCTGTCTGGTTCTTAGTGGGGATAGCTTGAGCATAACGGGTAAAATGATCAGTGTTGACCAATATATGCTCAAAGCCACCCGCAGACATTTCCAAGGACAGATAATCCATACAAACAAGCTCAAGAGGAAACGTTGATTCCACAGAGACAAGAGATGCGGTCTTACCCACAGGGGTTTTACGTCGAATGCATCTGGCACATTCCCGAATATGCTTTTCAACATACGCTTCTAAACCGGGCCAGAAAAATCTGGACTTGATCAAAGATAAGGTCCGATCTCTTCCCTGGTGACCTGCCTCATCATGTAATCCTGAAAAAATAATATCATGAGAGACAATGGGTACAACCAGTTGTACAACAGGATTACCGGACACATTACCTTTCCTGTACAAAATATCATCTTTGAGAAAGAGAGTACTCCATTCACGTAAAAACTGTCTGACTGGATCTGTTTCAAGACAACTCTGGCGACTTGTAAGTTTGTGACCAGCTTTCACAATACCAATAACTCTTGAAATTACACTATCTTTGGCTTGTTCGAGTTTCCAATCAACATCACTGAGACAAGATCCAAAGTCTTCACTCGAGGGAATAGCTTGGGCATTGTGAGACAAAGAAATACACTCAACTGCAGGGAGTTCTCGAACATCAGCAAGAGAAGCTTGAAACAAAGCTTTAAGAATTTCTGGGTAAAGAATTCTCGTTTCGTCACTATTCCTAACCTCAACACCTGGTAAACGAGAGAGAATGTCGGCATCTACATTAAGCTTTCCAGAACGATACTGAATAGAAAAGTGATAGGCAGAAAGTGAAGCTAACCAGCGATGAGATTGGGCATCGAGCTTGGCCGATGTAAAAACAAACGTGAGAGGATTATTATCAGTGCGTACAAGAAACTGATTTCCGTACAGGTATTCATGGAATTTGTCTACCACGGCCCATTTCAAGGAAAGAAATTCAAGCTTATGAGCTGGGTAGTTCCTCTCAGTCGGTCGTAAACCTCGACTGGCATAGGCAACAACTCTCTCAGTACCGTCAACTTTCTGATATAGAACAGCCCCTAGACCAAGACCACTTGCGTCAATATTCAAAATAAATGGTTTGGAGTAATCTGCATATGTCAGGATAGGTGTGGAAGTTAAACTTTCAATGAGAGACTTAAAAGCGTTCTCTTGTTCCTGACCCCATTTCCAAGGAGCAGCCTGCTTTCTGGACCTACCCTTCTTATTAGTAGGATGACCAACAAGTAAGTCATTTAAAGGTTTTGCTATCAGGGAATATCCTTTTACGAAACGGCGGTAATAACCCGCGAAACATAGAAATGAACGGAGTTCCTTCATAGATTTAGGGACGGGCCATTTTTGTAGAATACTTATCTTTTCTGGATCAGTTCTAACGCCATTTGCATCAACCACATGGCCTAAATACTTTACTTCAAGCTGAAAGAACTCGCATTTAGAACCTTTAAGTTTCAACCCATATTGTTCCAATTTGTGAAACACTGCCGCAAGTCTTTCAAAATGCTGTTGAACGGAGTCACTGAAGATAATAACGTCATCTAAATAAATAACACATTCTTTAAGATGCAGTTCTCCCATACAGCGCTCCATTAATCGCTGAAAAGTAGCGGGAGCGTTTGTTAGACCGAAAGCCATTTGTTTGCACTTGAAAAACCCGAGAGGACCAACAGTGAAAGCAGTTTTTGGCTTGTTTGATTTTTTTAAAGGAACCTGCCAGTACCCAGAGCGAAGGTTAAGTTTTGAGAAGAACTTAGAACCAGCAAGACAGTTAATATTTTTATTTATGCGGGGAAGTGCATAGGCATTTTTTACGGTATTGTTATTTAATTGGCGGAAGTTGATGCAAAACCGAAGGGAACCATCCTTCTTCCTGACCAAAACCACGTTCGATGAAAATGGACTGTGTGAGGGTCTTATAGCACCAGCCTTCAGCATTTCTTGAATATGCTCAACGTGGGGCCTGGTTCGAAGAGTGAATCATATTCGATGTAGTTTGGGTGCGAAACGTTCTGTATGACGTCACTGGAGTAAGATGGCTTCCCCCAGGAATGTCGGTATACATGTATCGAGAAGAATGTAAACAAATGGTTTTACACATATTTTACAAATTTTGGAGTGAAAATTAGGCCTAGACTTGTTGTATAAATATTATTTGGATTGATCTAGATCGACATTTGTCATTATAATACAGTGTTCGTCGAGAATTATTGATATCCGTGGATGGAATGTTCTACTTTCGTTTTCAACAGACTACAATGTGACAATGGAATAGTTACCGGTGTTATTCAGTGATTTGTGACATTTAAATTATAGACTTTCAGATTTAATAAGTTCGGTTACAGTGACATTTTATTTTTTCATCTAAATAATAAGCATTTAGTTTGTTGTTTATTTTTTCTAAACTGTAATACATGTAGAATTTTGACATTGTTTACATTAATATTTTGTTTTGTACATGTAATTTGTAGAAACAATTTAAACCAGTTTTACTACTTCTAATTTTAATTTTCAGAATGTAGTGTTGTATGTCAAGTGACCACCCACTGATGCACTAAGGTGTTGGTACCACAGGTGTTGGATAGTCATGCATGGTTGACAGATGATCTCCTGTTAAAATTTTGTAGGTGGTTGGTGAGACTTTTAACTAACACTTAATTAAAGTACATCCTTATATCCTATAAGTCCTGTCTAGTTGTCCATATTAATTTAGACATGTCCCTATTAATTTAAGTGTGATTTGGTCCATTATAAGTCCAAACCCTGTCATCAGTCAACAGATTGAAATTGATGTACACTGAGATAATTATTTGCTGCTGCTGTCAACAGTTCTTGGTAAGTTTATATCTTTCAGCTGTGATTACACCGTAGATGTAAGTGGTATTGATTAACAGTATCAACCGTGTAACTGTAGAACTTTCTTAGTATAATCTGTCTTGGATTTGTTGAAGTCACTGAGGTGGTATATGATTATCTCCCTTGTACTTGTGTGAAATTTCCAAGGAAGTAAACATAAGTGCTGAATTATTACTCATTTTTTAAAAAATTCAAATTAGTTTATTTTAAGTCAGGTCGTATTTATAAACACTTCCAACATGCACTAGTGTTTATTAGCACTCTGTGTACATGAAGTGAGATAACATTAAATCAAGTTCTCCAAATTTGTAAAAACAATTTGGATGTAACTATACACATTATTGGAGTGTTTGTGTTTGTTTTATTTGAATTTATTATTTCACACACATAAAACCGAAACACAAGGGTTGTATTATTTGTGTACCAATATACATTCATACATCATATACATACATTTTTTTTTGTTTTACATAATTGTCTGCCATAATCCATACATATTATTCAAATACTTCATAAAGTATGGTGGAGTATTAGAGACATTTTTTTTAAAGCAAATTTTATTATACAGCGATTTTGCAACAATATTGCAGATTGTGTATACATAAATACATATCAATCTACACAGAGTTGACACATATATACATCAATTTTTATTTTTTTGTATGGTGTACTGAAGGTGCCATTGTCCAGAATTGCAGTTTGACATATCAAGCAAGAATTTTTTTTAGTGATGGATGAAGCAGATGAGGAGGAATTACAGTATTTTGTAGATCAGATAAGAAAATCTGGGAGGTTTAATGTGACACCTTGTCAATCTAGTACCCCTCTTTCTTCCCATAGGAGATCTGGTGAACATTTGGAGGGCAGACCTGTTGAGACAGATACTCCTACTAGAGACTTGAACTCTAGACATATTACTTTTGACAAAGCTGATGTCCCTCCTCCTAAGCCAACTTCTCATGATATTTCCACTTACCCCTCATATCTTGACTCATCTGTTACTCATGCTCGGATTCCCAAATTACCTTTGTTTTCTGGAGAAGGGAAACCAGGAGAATGTGAGTTTGAGGTTTGGAGGTATGATTTGAATTGTTTATTACGTGGTGGTATGTATCCAAGCCATATCCTTCAGGAGTCCATTCGTAACAGCTTGAAAGGCAGAGCACGTACTGTTTTATTACACTTGGGTGAAAGGGCCTCCATTTCAGATGTCATTGCAGAGCTTGAAGCCATATATGGTAATGTTGCTACTTCAGAGCGGTTGAAGGAAGCTTTTTATTGTGCCAAGCAAGGTCAGAACGAGTCTGTCGCTGAGTATAGTCTTCGTTTAGAAAGACTTCTTACCAATGCGAACCTGAGTCTGGACCGGAACACTAAGGATGATATGCTTAGGAACCGGCTCTGGTCAGGTCTTCGTGATAATGATCTCCGGAATGCAACTCGTTACAAGTTCGAGTCTATTTTTGACTTTAATGTTCTGAGGAAGGAAATTCGTTCAATTGAGGAAGATTTTAAGGCTCGCACATCTACCTATAACTCTGTCTCTTGCACTCCCCCTCAAATCCCCATGTCCCAATATGTTTCTTCTTCCAAGGCTTTTGACCGTAAACCTGTTCCAGAGGTTCCATGTTCTTCAAATATGTCAGTTGTTGAACATAAGATTATTCAACAGCTTGAAGAACTCACTCTACAGATGAAGCGAATGAACTCCAGGGTTGAAACTGTAGAGAAGGAGCTTTCCCAGTTGAAGAAAGTGAGCGAATCTTCCACACCAGACAGTGGTAGTACCAGTACCAGGGAAAAGGGTAGTAGTAACTATAGAGGTGGTTATAATCGAGGCAGTTACAATAGAGGTGGACGTTTTTGGTCTGGTCGTAGTCGTGGCTATAGCTTTGATGGTAGTAGAAACCAGTCCAGTTCAGTTGCTGACAAACAAGACCAGAATTCTGACAGTAAATCTCCAGCTACAGGTGGTTTAAACGAGTCCAGACCTTCAATCGAGGGCAATTAGAAGGTCAGAACAACATATCCAGCCCTATTATCATACCATTAGTTGGCCATTCAAACCAAACTGAGATTGTTATTCATAATCAACGTTGTCAAGCTTTGATTGACACTGGGTCAATGATTACTACTGCCAGTGAATCATTTTATAAATCATTATCTCCTTGTCCTGAACTTTGTAGTTTAAAAGATTTTGCTCTTGATATCTCAGGTGCAAATGATGTAAAGGTTCCTTATATAGGTTACTGTTTGCTTGACATTTCTGTTCCTTCTTTGCAGTGCAGTACTATTATAGTGCCTGTGTTAATCGTTCCAGATACGGATTACTCTTCCACAGTTCCGGTTATTGTTGGGACTAATATCATCAGACACTTTCAGAATATTAGTTCAGGTGAAGAAATCCCTTCTTGTTGGCAACAAGCTTTCTCTGCTATTTCTTGTATTCACTCTGTACCAGTGAAAGCTTATAATCATAGGCCTATAACAATTCAGCCATACCAGACACATACCGTCACTGGGAAGGTTAGAGATGTTGATGACATGACTGTTGGTGTTACTGAGACATTTGATTCTTCCTCTAGCCTCTTGAATATATGCCCAAGGGTTGTCAGTGTTCGCCCAGGTAAAGCTTTTTCTAGAATCCCAGTCAGGATTTGCAACTTGTCAGCAAGGCCAGTGGTTATTCACCCGAATTCAGTTCTTTGTAGTTTAAAGCAGGTAGAGGTTGTACGTTCTCTTGATCCCTCTGAAGGTTCAGTCTCCAAATCCCATAACCAAGATAAGACTCTTGAAGAACTTGGTGTAACAATTCCTTCTGATAACCTTTCTGGTGATGAACATTCTCAGGTTGTTAAATTTCTTAGCAACTGGAAACATATCTTTTCTTCTGGGATTACAGATCTTGGCTGTTCTAAGTCTGTTGAGCACAAAATTGAGTTGTCAGACTCAAAGCCATTCAAAGAGCCTTATAAATTAAACTCTGAGCTATATCAGTCACGGTCTCCCGTTGGGCGCCAATTGTCGCAGCTCAAACGAATCAAAGGGGTCGTTGACTCTGCTGTGAGTTCTGGACCTGGTGTAGAGGGTTCTGTAAAAAGACAAGTATGCGCTACTCAAAATATTTATTCTTCCCTACAACAAAACCGTGGCCTGCGCCAACAATTTCTCAATTCAAGTGCAAAATATGAAAATCACAAAAATCGATGAATGGCAAAATATATATGAATAATAATAGCATCATCTGCAAAAGTCTATTTACCTGTAAAAAGACAAGTATGCGCTACTCAAAATATTTATTCTTCCCTACAACAAAACCGTGGCCTGCGCCAACAATTTCTCAATTCAAGTGCGCATGCGTTGTGCAGATTAGCGGGGAAATTGAAATATTAGCGAGAAAAGTTAATCGAAGATATTGAAAAGGTTATAAAGTACTATTATGGATAGGTAACGGCTATTGGATATGAGATATGAGCTATGAGTATATGAATTAAAGAAATAACTACGGAAAACAATAAGGGACATGGACATTAACATATAAATATACAGAGACAGGCATGGACACGAACAGATTAAAATATACAGCACTTGGCAATACGGACAATGTATACTTGACCCTGTGACAAAAGCAAATTACGCCACGTGATATTATTATGATACTGTTGTACTCATTAAATGGATTTATTTCACTTTATTGCGTGGTTTTATGCGATGAAGCCATTTTATATTTTATTATTCATATAAAAAAACGGAAATACAGTTAAAATGCTACGTGACGTAATATATAATTTACAAAAAATAAAATATACAAACATGCCGTACATGCATATTAACGTTCGTTTAGTGGTAGCATAACACTACACGCGTCACAAATGATTCTTGTTTATTGAGATGTGAGCTTATATGTATAAATTGTTCATAGAAGAACGAAGCATTAAACTGACTGTAATGTTTGTAAATTTACTCCAATGCGCTTGGAACATTTGTCTAATTTTTGTTTTGATATTTGTTTTGTATTGATATTGGCATGACTGAAATATTTGTCTAGATAGTATGTTTAAAAATAAAACATTAAATGTGTAAAGGTTTTTTAATACATATAGAATACCATTTCCCGCAACAAGATATGACAGAATATTCTCTCTCTTTCATAGCATACGAAAGTTCTATATGTATATTTCTTTAAGATGACCGTTGGAAGCTATTTTTTATTTAAATGTATTAGTCAAATTTTCTAACAATTTCTTAACCAAAGAGCATACTTGACAACATACTGAAAAGTCGAAGTTATGTTAAAAGATGTGCTATGTTTTATTTAAATTTAACGCAGATATTTGATGAGAAATTTTTTTATACATACGAACCTTGAGAGATGATTTTAGAAGGCCGCCGTAGGCCTTAGATATAAAAGCTGTAATATAAAAATATTTGCATTGGAAAAGTACAAACAATTATGGAAATCGAGTGCAACATGTACCACAAAAGGTTTTTCCTGGGAGCAAACAAAGAACATTATTTAAGATGTGTTCATCAAAAAGAATTCAAAGAGTATGAAAGTCGGGTTAATTTAACCAATAAGCTTGTGATGAGAATTTTGTGCACAGGTTTGAGAGGAAGAGATGGGCTGAAAATATGTTGTGAAGACAAAAGCTAACAGACGACCCTGTATTTCCAAGTCTGAATTTAAGGTTATTGAAAAACTGTATACAATTTTTGTCAATTCTACTTTAATAGTTATTTAAGTTCCTTTTTTATTTTACCAAAAGTCGGATAGTGAAAGATCACTGAAGCAAATCTAACAAGATCATAGGAAATTATTATCTGGGGATTACAGGCGTTTTGTTAAAGAGTTTAGTCATTGTTATCATTGGAACATTAAGTCTTTGGCGAAATGTCCAACCATATTACTTCTTTATTGAACAAAAATAGGCTGACAATAAGTCGGTGGTAACAGACAATTATATCAGCAATAAATACGTTACAAATACGCAACTTAGATTTATATTTTGTAACTTAAAAGTATTTTTCTCAGACTAGTGTTCTGGACTAGAAAAACGTATTTTTTTTTTAAAAAAAATGCATTTTTTCAAAATCAACTCAGAAACAAGACCGAACAAAGGGGTAAATAGAAAATGTTGCAGACTTGGTTTGGTTCGTAGTACTTTCCTTATACCTTCATTTTTAAAGTAATAATAGGATACTTATTAAGTTCGTTAACATGGGGTGTTTCAACCTAACGTTCAAAGAAGGTTTTGTAAAATTATTCATTCTTGCACCAATTAGTCTTATCCAGTTAAAATTAAACAGACAGGCAAATAAATACAATTGTCTTATTAGTTGATGGTGTGTAACATAGTCGACTAGGGGAGAAAACTTTTTGTAATTAAATAATTAACTATTGTAATCGGTAAGTTAATACCTTTAATCATGTGTACTACAAATAATTTTAACATCAGCAGTCCATAGGTACAATAACTTACATGTACTATTTATTTAAGAGTTGTTGTTTTAATTATTGAATAAATTGTTCATAAAACACAACGCTTAGTACTTTACTTTACCCGCTTCGTTACAAGTGTATTATTAAGATAGTAACGTTTGCAATACGATGAATTTTATAAACCGATGTTAACGTTATTATTGTCATTTCAAATTATCTACAGATTTAAGTCCTTTACAAGATAAAGATTTCCAACAAAATGCCCACATGATTAAAACAGAGCAACTTAATCAGCATTAACTGTTTTTATTTGATTACATTACTTTATTCAGTTTAAGATAATGCTTTTATAAGACTTTTAGTTTAAAAGCAATGTTTGGTTAAAGCAGCACGCTTCCAGATTCACGCTTATGTTCATAAAAAAATTGAAAATGAATTTTAACGTATAATATTGGGAAATAACCACCAACCAACAGGAAGCAATTTACACATTATCAATGACACTGACGGCCATTTTGATTCATCTGGAGACATGCAGCTTTAACGGAATCTGATACATACAAAATGTTTCTTATCAATATTAAAGCCAAACCATTTTTGGATATACTTTAGGAATATTAATACGAAATAAAATTCTTTAGAAATTGCATGTTTCAGTAAGATTTCAAGCTCATGCACATTTGTGAAACATTAAGCAGGCATTCAAAAAGTTCCATCTGGTTTATTATCCGAATTCTTTAGTAAGAGGTTTTAAATAAAGAATACAACGTTTATTCGTACTGACTTTGAAGAAACAATAAACGATGCTTAATGACTGTATCAATTTTTTGTGCAAACAAAGAAAGAATAAGCCAAAAAAAAAGACAACCCAACAACTTATATTAAATTATAGCTACATCAAAATAAATAAAGATTAAGATTTCACCAAACTATTTAGAAATGTAAACCCAATTTCCTAGATTTTTTCAAAGTAAATTCATTTACCCATTACTTGTTTACAGAAAGCCGAAAATGTCACGAACGCATAAGGAGTACAACCAATATTATAAGCTTTTGAGTAGTCTTATGTAATGACCACCTGTCAAGAACGTCTTTTGCCATTATTATTACTGAAGCAGCATTAAAGAGCAAATCAAAGCTGAAAAGATTATTGTGTAAATATATAGGTTAGTTTTTAGCTTTTGAAAACGTTTCGATTGACCAAAATTGATATATTTTCCATTTTGTAACAATAACAATACTGATGGCAGTGTTAATTAATTGCCTTTTCGTGTATATTTCCTTTTCATTCACATATGTATTGATTACTGAAACTATTACTTAGTTTTATCGCCGTCTTAAAGCACATTTGAGGAGTTTCTTAATTTTAATCGAACAGTTTCAATCTTGAGTTCTGCTTTGGCTGATGCGACGTGAACGATAGCTTGCATATTCAACTTCAATCGCTTAAAGGAACATTTTGAAATATTTTTATTTTGACTTCATCAGTAAATTGAACTCTTAGATTAACAGATGTTTGTTTGATTGTTTTTTGTTGTTTTTCTTTTATTTAATTTGAATTTGTCATTACC